TTGCCGCCATGTGATTGGCTGCTTAGAAATTAAGTGTTAACGAGCAGTTGGACAGGTGTACCTAATAAAGTGGCCGGTGAGTGTATATGTGTATATATACATGGCAAAATCCTTCACCATCTTCACCAGTTCCTCGTTTTCCTGCCACTTTGGTTCAAACTTGCATTTTTCCCATTCTCTAGCCTTTTCTCTGCCTCAAGCTTCTTTTCCGAAGCATTTTAATGCCACGATTATCAAATTTAATAATTTTAATGCCAATTAAGGCCTTAATTTAAAAAATAATAATGTAATGACCCGCAGAAACCCTGTAATACTTTAAAGAAATTCTAATGATGGTCTGCACTGGAACATAAATAGTAACCGATAGGTCCTTTGGGTCTATTTCATTCTTTTTCTTTACAAATTCTGTTTTAATAATTATTCAAAAACAATAAGGTAGCTTCAGTGGTATTGAGAAAATAACCCAGTTTTTATCTGCTAAATGTTTTTTTTTCCACAACAAATTGAAAAAAAAAATGCTCAAATTTTTACAGATGAATTTAAGTTTTTCTTGAATTCTAATCTAAGTTTGATAGAAAACGGTACTTTTAACTTAAATTAAGTCAAAAATATTTAAAATTCCTAAATTATAAATGTATAAGAATGTATAAGAAATGGGATTTTTATTGAACCTAATTGAAAATAAATTTCACTTCAGCTCTCTTAATATAATATATTTCATGCTTTTCTGGGCCCCCATGGAAACACCCTGGCCCCCTCCTGGCCCCCTCCTGGCCCCCTGGTACATTTGGTCTAGATCCGCCACTGAGTGTAAATCAGAAGTAATCAGGCAACAATTACTTAGTGTTATGAGTAAAATACTCAGTATTTTTACAAATACTTTTTGTTCTCACTTAAGTAATTTCAGCAATTACTACTTTTTATTTTAACTGGAATTAAAAAAAAAAGTAGTGCTACTCTTTGTGGAGTAGAATCTTTGGGTACTTTACAGCCCACTGTTGGAAAGTATAAAGACTGTGTGGAGAATTTAATATGATTAATTATAGTATTATAAAAAGTCTTTCCGCTTGTTTTATTTGAGTTATTCTTAAATGAATCAGAGACTTTCTGACAGCTAATATGTCATATCTTCTTTGGACCCCGTATTGCTGTGATCGCAGGCAGCCAGGCGGAGCTGCAGACTCTCAGACGGCACGCGCAGGAGCTGGTGGATGAAAACGACGCCCTGAAACAGACCGTCCACCGTCTGAATGTGGAGCTGAGCCGCTACCAAGCCCGCTTCATGCCGCTGTCCAAAGAGGAGGTATGAACAAAAAGCTCTCCTCCTCCTGCTGCTGAGAAAAAGCTTATCAAACTAGTTAATCTAACTTTTTAAAAATGATCTCATGCTCTTTGTAAAACCAGTTTATTTTTCCCTTCATGTTGTTGTTTTATTGGGGCCTCCTAATCAAGCTTGTATGATAGATATCCAGCGTCCTCCTCTGATTTGAACCCCTGCTGAGTGAAATCAGCTTTTCTTGTCTCATTTTCTTGCCTCGGTCCATTTGATTAGCTGAACTAAACCAGCTTCCCGTCACCGTCTGTGGCTGCTCAGCCTTTTCTTTCCAGGCTGCTGTATACTTTACTCAGCCGATGAAAGCAGACCTGTGCTTTTAATCAAGAAAACCTCATGCTGTTTTCTGTTTCACATCAGGAACTTTATTTTTATTTTATTTCTTTTCTGTGCCTGTCTCTGGCTGTTTGCTTCCTCTGTACCAGCAGGTCTCATTAGTGACAGTGGAGGTGAAAAGAAAGGATAGAGAGGAAGGGAGCTGAAATAGGTAAAGAAAAACATGAGAAATCCTTTAAAACAGAATTTTTTACCAACATGTGGAATATTTATTTCAAGGAGTAAAACCTTTAACATCCAAAGAGACATTTTATCTTAAGTTCAGCTAAATTACCTTTTAATAATGAAACAAAAACTTACTATTTTTGTTAAGTACCTACTAATGTGTTTAGCCCCTGTCCCACCTTGAGGATTTAGCC